TCCATATTTATATTTTCATTTAATCCATAGGTTTTTTCCGACTGAATCCACATCTGATATTTTTTTTTTATCATTTTGTCACAGCTACGCCATGATTGTTTTGTAGTGTAATTATTCGTTTTTCTATTTCAAAAATGTTATTTCATAAAGAAGAATATTATCTTAATTAAAGACAGAAAGAGAATTGCATAAGATGTGTTTATTTCATTGCTTTTGAGATAGAAATGGGTGAATATCATGTGAACTCTTTAGTTGTTTGTGAGATAATATTCGTTTTTCATGGATATGGTTTTTAGGGCTGGAGTAATTACAGGATAAGATCTTGTGAACATAGAGTGACAATGGCAGGAGACAAGACAAGGTACAGTTTAGGTCTTTTCTCGTTTATCACGGGCATGGTTTCGGTTCCTGAGGAACTCGTGGACGACGTACATCCTCTTATGTATAAGCCATTTGATAATATCGCTCTCATAAACTTCTATGCAACCAAAGAAGGCCGTGAAGCGAAGTCAACTCTCAAAGCATATTGTGGTATCGAAAAAGCATCTATACAGTCAGAAGATTGATCAAGTCGTAAATGTTTTTAGTAATCTGAATGTTATCTTATTGTTTCTCTGCTAATCTATAATATGATCAAACATCCATATTCTTCTAGTGCTTGTTTTATAATTTTGAAGGGTCCTATGTATATATCTCAGATTATTGAGAACGCATGTAAAATATTTTTGTAATGAAAATAGATTTTGGATGTTCACTATAAGACAACGTTTCAACCAGATCTTTGGATCAATGTTACGAACAACGAAGATTCTCAGAGGTTTCTTTTCCTCAAGGAAACGATCGTTTTTGGTATGTCGGTTTTTGCGGCTTCCATTTACTTTATGTTTACATAATTTTGATAGGGTATAGTGTTTTTCTTGCATTTCACGTTTACGTTTACATGTTTTCTTCTTCAATGAAATCGCAAGTTTAGTATTCATTTTTAAGTATCTACTTCATATATATAACTTCAAATTTTTAAACGTAATTGCCAAACAAAAATGGGAGAAAATTTATGTTTCTGTTTTGTTATAGCATTTATAATTACAAGTATTTGAAGACAACACATATTTTCTTTTACGGCCTTAATTTTTTTATAAAGATTTTACATTCTATAAATGTGGTTTCTTTCTTTAATAATGGACTACAAAGTTTAGTGTTTTTTATTTTAAACAGATATAGTTTATAACAAAAAAAAAAGTTGTACTACAGAAGGAAGAAGATCAAGATTCGTTTGTGCTTTGCTCTTACACGGTGGTTAGCTCCGCCGGAGTCTACTCCCACGCTAACTCTTCCTCCGCACACCGACAAGGCCCTCTTATAAAATTTTGTATTGTTCATGAGTTGAGAATTATGAACATAAACTTATACTATATCCGATCTATTTGGTCGAGAAAGTCATTTACTTAGAGCATTTACAACGCTATAAATCTTAATGGGATATCTTAAAAAAAGAAATATTAATATTTAAATCATAAAAATGTCTAAACCTTGACAAAAAAAAAAAAAAAATGTCCAAACCAATTATAAGATGTCACATATTAAATGAGTTTTCTAAAAATTTAAGAACAGTTTCTTAAACAAGAAATTTAAGATCCAATCCTTCTTCATCTCTCTTACTTTTTATTATTTTATTAATTTTGTCTGTTAAGATAAACTTGCATTGCACATGCTCTTATAACTTATTAGTTTTGAGACGGAAACCCATATAAATATATATTGGTGTGTATTCACATTTGTTGAAGAGAATATGTAATGACAGAGAGTTTCTTAGAGTAATAACATCTATTACTAATAAAAGTTGATGCTAAATGACTCTAAGTGTGTCCACATAGGATTTAAAGATTCAATTTTATTGGTACACATCATCATTATTTTTAGTTAATTATATATTATATATTAAAATTAATTAATTCGTTTTTAATTGTTATAAGAAATTTTTTTAAATTTTAATTAATTTTGTTTTTTGTTGTTATTAGAAAAGTTTCTAAATTTTAAGTTAGTTATTACTAAAAAAAGTTTTGAAAATAGATCTTATTTTTCTATTAACAATAAAAAGGTAAATTAACATATAAATAGATTATGAAAGAAAAATCATATATATTAAACAAAATTATTAAAAACTGTATTTAAAACTATAATTAAATTATTTTAAAATTTTAATCACGACAAACAATTAAAATCTGAACTGCTAACTTAAAATATATTAGTTGTGGTCCGTGTTGATGTCCTATGCCAATGAAAGCGTCCACATATGACATATATACTCAATCTGATTAGTCTATATCAACGTATTTCATTAAACATAAAAAATAAAAAATATTATTAATTATTTAAATAAATTAAAACATAAAAAATATATAAAATTATAACAATAGAATAGAAAATTAAGATAATTTTTTAACTAATTAAAATAAATTGATGTCAAAAGTCTAAATATATTGTGAAAATAAAATGCAAACTCATTGTCACAAAAACTGAACTAACAAAAACAAATATGTAAATCAATATCGAAAAATTTAAATTAAAAAACAAATTTAGCATATATATTTTAAATGAGTAATTTATTTAGAAAAAATATTAAGATTAAATTTTCATATAGACATATAAAATTGTTATTTAAAAATATCAATACTACCAAAAAAATAGTCATCTTAAATTATCAAAAAAGAAAGTCATCTAAAACTAATAATTTTGGGGGAAATATTAAAAAAATAACACAAAAATCTTAACAAACCAAAAATGATAATTTATGATAATTACTGAAGAAAGCAATATAAAAAATGTTTAACTAACAAAACCAAAACATAAATTATTTCGTACAACATGTCAATGTAATTAAAATGAAAGTCCATATCGAGAAAAGTTAAATTAACAAAAAAAAAAAGGATATTAACTTAATATCTATGTTATTTATTTAACAAAATCAATATAAACAGAATAAGTAAGAGAATATAAAAACTTCAATAATACTAAAAAACTTAACTAACAAAAATAATGTAAATATTTAAGCTAATTATTTAAGAAATTAATATTAAGAAATTAATTAACTAAAAAACTAAAATGAAAATTAAGTTTTACAAAATATTATCTTTAAAAAAAACACTTAAAAATATATTGTCTTGATATCTGACTCACTACTTAAAAAAATTCATATAAAAATACTTAACTAACAAAAAATTTATCTCTTCAAAATATCAATATTTTAAAAACAATGGTGTGTTAAAATAAAATAAAAATCAATATCAAGAGATATCAATTATCAAAGGAAAAAGTCGTATAAAGTAAAATTAGCTTGATATTTAGGCTAACTACCAAACAAATATTAACTAAAAAAAAGCAAATGATGGTATAAGCTTTTGAGAGAGGTTCACTTAAAATTTAGAATAACCAGTTATAGCATTTCAAAATAGCATTTTATTTAATTTAAAAAGTAAATTTAACAAAGAAAAAGTATTTATGTAAAAGATATTTGATTAATATATATGCTACATATTTAAAAAATCAATAACAATAGAGATTAATTAAAAATATATATATTTTAAGTATATCAAACCTGCAGAAAATTAGATAATTAAAATAAAATAAAAAATTACCATCGAAGGTATTTAAAATAACAAAAAATAAGATCTAAGAAGAAAATTAGTTTGAAATATAGTTCCAAAAATATTCATGATTTCTAAAATATTGGTGTTGACTATGAATAACCATATAAAGTTTTAATAGGTTATACAAGTTTCTAAATCACACATATTATTTAATTTTACAAAGATTAATACCTTGGTTGCATCGGGTTGAAAAATTAACAAAGTAAAATACTACACAAGTAACTTTACATTCAAAATATAATAAGTAATAAAGTCTGATTTGTATACATATTTACTGCTTATAACTTAGTCAACATGAACAACACATGAGCAACATCCTCTTAAATTTTATTTAAATAATATAATATGACAAAGTTATGAATCAAATTCAAATGGGAATATATGAAGATAAAATATTTAAATCAAAACATGAATAAACACACAAAAAAAAACAGTGATAATGTGAAGTCTCAACATCATCTTACATGTTTAAAAACAAATATTAGCAAATAGTTGACTGCAAATAAAACAGATCTTATAAATTGAAAAGAGTTATAACCTAAAATTCATAGAAGATCTGGTGGAAAAGCAAAAAGCAGCTTTACACGATTAATGTAGTTTACTAACAAAAGTAATTCTGAATCAACATATATCATATATTATATATGTATATGTATACAACATTAGTGAAACATTTAGTAAAGAAACTAAATATTTAAACATATAAACCTTTAAAAAAAAAGAACCATAAAAATCCTAAGGATACAAAACAAAACACCAAAAGTTTAGTAAGAAAATCATTTTCTAAATCAAATATGTACATCAAAGTTGGATAATTCGTTAGATGTCATTACTATGATTTTACTTAATAAGATTTATAATTTTATAAACAAAATAGGAAATACTACATATTATGTTTTAATTTTTTTTTATATAAAAGAAAATTTTTATAAATATATTATAGTATTTATAATTTAAAAAATATTAGCTAAAAAATTAAACCAAATTATTTATACAGCGCAAGTTAAAAGCCTAGTAACTAGATACTATTTCTGTATGGTTGCAACAAACTACTTGCATATGTATTAATTCTGATAGTGATAATTAAAAACATAGTGCGACAACCCAAAATACAATAGATGAAAATATTCACTGTAATTATGCAATGTGATAAGGCAACCTACGTCCACTGCATCGGTTTCCTTCTCCATAAAATTATTTCTTTGTCAAAACACCAAATTTTCTCTCCCCTATAGAGATTGCGAAGACGCTAACTATGTACTGTCTAACCTAATTTAACCTAATAAAAGCCAAACCCACAAAGGTCACTATAAATACAGTCTAGGGCTTCTATGGATAAAACCCTTCAAACAGTTTAGGGTTTTGTACCCCTTTATTCCATCTCAACTTTTCGATGGCCGATCAGAGGAAGAGGCACAATGAATCCGATGTAATCTTCCTCTTCTTCTTTGTGTCTTTCTTCTTTACACGATCATATATCAACCGCTTTTGATTGGATCTTGGTTTTATCTTGTATACTTTTAGATTCAAGCAAAAGAAACCCCTGAGCAAGAGCACGAGAATCGGAAGAAGCAGAAGAAGGTCAGAGCTTAAATTTCTCTAATACATTGATTATAGTTTTTATGAAAATGCGAATCTTCTAATAAGTCGTTTCTCACTGTTGAGAGTCGTTTACCTTGTTCAATTACAGATGATTTTAGGCACTGATTAATCAATGATATGCTTTTACGATGTCTGCTTCTTCTATGTGCACACAGTTAAGACCACCATTCTATTAGAAATTATGTGACTGATGACACTAGTCCTTCTAAAGTTTGAAGCAACTATGGAGCCTTGGGAGCTCAAGGAGGGCATGTATCTCAAGAAGCAGAAGAAGGTTGGTTTTGTCTAAATATGTGTCTTAATACGGTGATTAGTTCCTAAGGATTCGGATGCCTTTGTTAATTTATTTTTGGCAGAAAATAGCTGAATTAAGTAAACGTCTAAAGGAGATGTGTGAACTTGTGAAAAAACTAGAGAAGAAGTCAGATATACGGGAGAACTCATTGAAGGTTATATGTGTTTTTAATCATGCTGTGTTTGTATGTTGAGGAATGATACATTTGCACTCTATAAACTGATGTATTTTGTATAATTTCAACCTTGTCTTGAGGAGGTAGAAACTCCAAAGGAGTGTTTTTTCGAATCTAGGATGCATTTATGGTTAAGTGGGAAACCATTTTCGTCTTGGGATTCAACTGTTCCTTTCCTAGGGATGAAATCAAGAGCTCATTGAAACAACACTTCAGTTCTTGTGGACCGGTCACAGGGGTTTATGTTCCTTTTCATTGTAAAACCGGTCATCCCATGGGGTTTGTCACTTGTTCCTCAAATTGCTGATTTTAAATGCAAACCATATCATTTACTCTCTCTCTCTCTCTTGTGTTTCCTTTCAGATTTGCTTTCATTAATATGTGACAAGAGGCAGAGAAGGCGTTAAAACTCAATGGAAGTTACTTGGGAGGGGAGTCTCTTTTTGTTACGATGGCGAGAAAAAGAGACGAATCCGCTTTCTTTACAAACTTGTGAACGTTGTCATAGAGCTCGGAAGAAGCGCCAACTGGAACACTTCTATAAGACTTCCATTGTACGACAATAAGTCATCCACAACGAATTGTCTTTTACTTATATTATAATAATATAAATTAATAATATAAATAAAATTATAAATTTAAAAGAACTGAATCAATCAGATAATGACATATAACTGTTTAAGTTTAGAGATCTTATCTAAAACATTTTAAAGTAGAGATTGTCTCTCTTCTATTCTCAGACTTTTATATTATTTTCTATTTTTTATTATTAAAAATTTAGATTAGAGACTAGTATTTGAGATGGTCTAAGACCGTCGGTGTAACTCCACTTCGCTATTTTATTTTTTTTTGTTGTTATTGAATCTTCATAATTGAGTATCTTGGTTGTTATTTTTGGTTCTTGTTTTTGCGTTTGCTGCTAGTTGATAAATCAAATGATGGAACTTTATTTAAGATATTAAGTCTTTAATCTCTTGTTTCAAAATACTTTTTTTCTCTAAAACCAAATCTTAATTTTGATGTGAAATGAGTATTTTATCGAGGAAAAATTGTAAAGACACAACTTTGATATAAAGACTATATTTCTGATCGGCAAATATTTGTTAGAGAAAAATTGGTTTTATACACATCTTTTCTCAAATATTTGGTTTTAGAGAAAAGACACAACTTTACAATTATTTTTGTAATGACATTTTCTCTAAGCAAAGACACAACTTTGATATAAAGACACAAACCAAATTTTGAAACATTTTCTAAAAATAATATGAAACAAATATTTTATCGAGGAAAAAATATAAAAATAACTTTTTTTAAAAATATTTTATAAATATTAGTGTTATCCTTTTAACGATTTTTATATATAGACTAATAACACACTAATAGTAAATTAAATATAGACTACTGACCGATTGACTAACCATACAATTGAAAATATATTAAATGCAAACAAAAAACAGACTAAATACAAATAAATAGCAGACTAACGGTAAACTGAAAGCATACGGGTAGTAGACTCCTTTTATATATTATTTTATGAAAGGTTATGTTTTACAATAAAATTTTGAAATAGTCTATTTAAATAAATGACTTTGTTTTTAATGTAAAGTTTCATGTGAAAAATGGTTAGGGTTGGAGATGCGTGACAATGGCAAGAGATAAGACGATGTACACTTTAGGACTATTCTCGCTTGTTACACTAAGAATGGTTTCGGTCCCTGAGGAGCCATTCGACAACATCGCTCTCATAAACTTCTATGCTTCCAAAGAAGGCCATGAGGTCAAGTCTACTCTCAAAGCATATTGTGGTATCTAATTAAGCATCTATACACAGTATATTTATGTTCAAAATATAATTAATGTTTGCAAATATGAATGTATTCCCATTAATCAAAGTGATATTGTTTTATAAATCTGAATGTTATCTGATTCGTTCTGTAGTACGAAGTTTCATTTTCAATATGATAGGATCTTTTAAATTATTTAAGCCAATCAAAATTTGAAAGTTGTAAACTACAATAATAAGAGTGTAAATCACATTTTTTCTGTATTCCAAAGATAAAAAAAAAAAGAATGTTGTCAGAAACCATAAACATTATAATCAAACCTTAAACATGTTTTCGTAAAATGATAATTAATAAACCCAAATTAATCGAAGTGATATTGTTTGATAGTTATCTGATTGGTTCTCTAGTAACAGAGTTTCATTTTCAATAAGATAAGATAAAAAGTTCTAATCTTTTCAGATTATCTAAGCCAAACAAACCGTTCTAAAGTTGTATAGTACAACAATGAGAGTGAAATCACATTTTTTTCTCTATTACAAAGATAACTAAAAAAAAAGAACGTTGTCAGATACCATAAACATATAATCAAACCTTAAAATCATGATAATATTGTTTAAAAAATCTAACTCTAGTGATCCTCAAAACCCTATATAAGAACACATAGAGAGAGACATATAAAACAGAACAAGTTTCTAAAAGAGAGATATGGTGAGTGTGGAAACAAGTCTTCCTCTTCAGCTTCCGGTCATCGATTTCACAAGTCCAAACCTAAAACCAGGAACTGTCGAGTGGGACTCCGTGAGAGGCGATGTCCGAAAAGCCCTAGAAGAGTACGGATGCTTCGAGGCCTTGTTCGATAAAGTCCCCATCGAACTTCGAAAGGCGGTTTTCGATGCTTCTGAGGAGGCTTTTCGGCTGCCATTAGAGACCAAACAGAGAGTTGCGTCGAGAAGAAAGTACAGAGGATACTTTGGTCAGATTCCAACTTTACCTCTTTTCGAAGTCTTGGGCGTTGATTTTGCAGAAAACGAAGATAAAGTCAATGAGTTCACTCGTAAGCTTTGGCCACAAGGAAACACAAGTTTCAGGTTAATTCTCTCAAAACTTTATCTTCTCTCGTTATAAATTCGTTCATTCGGATTTCAAAACAGAACAAACTCTAAAGTTGCTCTGTTTTCTGCAGCGAGGCGGTTATGTCATTCACGGAGAAAGTATCAGAACTTGACTTCATGACAAGGAGGATGATAATGGAGAGCTTCGGGATCAATGAAACTTACATACAGAAACATTTGAGTTCGACGAAATGTCTCATGAGAATGATGAAATACCAAGGAGTTGAAGAAACAGAGGAGGAGTTAGGTATGGAGGCTCATACAGACAGAAATGTACTTACCATACTTTGCCAGAACGATGTAAAAGACGGACTTGAAGTGAAAAGCAGAGATGATAAGCATTGGATCAAAGTCAATCCTTCCCAAGAATCTTCATTCATCGTTCTTGGTGGAGCTACGTTGCATGTAAATTTTGAAAAAACCAAACTTCCTTTTAAACATTATGTTTTGTAATGTTTTAAAAAAAACAAGATGTGTTTTCAGGTACTTATGAATGGTCGTGTGCTCACTGGGTTTCACCGTGTGATGAGGAATGGAACGAACACGAGATTATCAGCTGGAATGTTCTCTGTTCCGAAAACAGAGGATTTGATATATGCACCAGAGGAAATGGTTGATGACGAGCATCCTCGCTTGTTCAAGCCATTTGATTTTGAAGCATACTTTCAGTTCACCACTGAGGGACCTGGAAGGAGAGATCTTGCTGCGCTCAGGGCTTACAGTGGCCTTTGAGCATATTATATACCCTAAAAATAATAATGTATTTTCACCCCAAATAAGAAGAGAACTTGTATGATTTGCTTCTGTGTTGTCTCCAACTTTCCATGTAAACCCATCTCCATCAGAATAATAAAGATAAATTTCCAATTTAAAGATTATAGAGTGAGATAAGATCCCTGTAGAGGTCAGAACCATACAAATCCTCTCTACGAGGGTGTGTACATTGAATTTTCAGACAATGCAGAGAAAGTCAATGCCTTTACTCAGAAGCTTTGGCCTGAAGCCAACAACAGTTTCAGGGATAACATTCAGATTTATAAAACAATTCAGCCAAACAGTTCTATCATTCACCAAGGAGCTATGGTCACCGAGGCAACATGAGTTTCAGGTTTGAGAACTTTCATTGTAAAGATTGAGTTTTCAGATCCCAAATAATAATGCCAAGGTTCACTGAGTAATGAGGATGCGAAGAAACACAAGCACTCAGCTGGACTTTTCTCTGTTCCGAAAACAGAGGATTTTCAGCTCTCAGGACTAACTGTAAACTATAAAAACAAAGCCTGCAGCGAAGGTTCACTAAGTAATGAGGATGGGAAGAAACACAAGCATTCAGCTAGACTTTTCTCTGTTCCGAAAACAGAGGATTTTCAGCTCTCAGAACAATGTCTCTCTAGGAAGAAACTTGTTTTGATCCTGCGTCTGAATAGTATTCAGAATGAGTTTCACGATCTGGCCTCAAGGCAACAAGAGTTTCAGGTTTTGGGATCTTTCAAAATTTTCTTCTTCTCTGATAATTTAATCATTTGGATTTTTATAAACAGATCAAAACTCTTAAGAAACCAGTGACATTTTGCTCTGTTTCTGCAGCGAGACTGAACTGATAGTGATGTTTTGTCTTCAACTGCCTTTAGAATAGTTGACTTCAGAGTTCAAATATTCATTCTCCAGAAGAAAAAATAATGATTTTCTATCTATCTCAGCTTAAATTTCAGATTTAGAGAGAAACTTGACATCTTGTGCAGAGAGAATCATCAGAAAATAGATTCCTTGAGACAAATATAAATGGCCTGTAACAACATTTCAATTCAGTAAAGCTATCATTTTCTCGTTCACTAAATGGGTTCTGAAACTCCTTTTCTTCCTCTTCACCTCCCACTCATTGATTTCTCAAACAATAACCTGAAACCAGGAGATCCCGAATGGGACTTAACCAGATCCCAAGTCCAGAAAGCTCTACAAGACTATGGCTGTTTCGAGGCTTCTTTCGATAAAATCCCTATTGAGCTACGAAAATCCATCTTTGGAGGATTACAAGAGCTTTTCGACTTACCCTTACAGACCAAACTGAGAAACGTATCCAAGAAACCGTTCCATGGCTACGTGGGTCAATACCCAATGGTGCCATTGTACGAGAGCATGGGCATCGATGATTCTGATGTTGCAGCCAAAGTCGAAGCCTTTACCAAAAAGCTATGGCCTCAAGGCAACAACAGTTTCAGGTCAGTAAACTTTCTGTCTATATTTTCCGATTAGTACCCACAGATTATGACGAGGCTTCTTTTATTACCAGCACGACGATCCATTTGTTTTCAGAGAAGTTATCAGAGCTAGACATAATTATCAGAAGAATGATCATGGAGAGCTTCGGACTCGTGAAATACATCGATGAACATCTTCACTCGACGAACTACCTCCTGCGAGTGATGAAGTACAAAGGACCTCCTGACTCAGAGGAGACAAAACTGGGGCTAAACGCTCATACCGATAAAAACATCGTCACTATACTTTACCAGAACCATGTTGAGGGTCTGGAGGTTCAGACCAAAGACAACGGTTGGATCAAAGTGAAGCCATCGCAAGATTCTTTCATCGTCATGATCGGAGATTCTCTTCATGTAAGCCCTTCGGTTATTTCACTTCCTTTAATCGGAATCAATGCTTGAGTAAGAACAATAAAATCCCAAATGCTGTTTTTGATGTCACAGGCATTGCTGAATGGTCGACTACACTCTCCTTATCACCGTGTCATGATGACGGGAACAGAGACGAGATACTCGCTCGGATTGTTCTCGATTCCGAAAGCAGGACATGTCGTGAGCTCACCAGATGAGCTCGTGGACGAAGAGCATCCTCGGATGTTTAAGCCCTTTGATCATGTCGAGTTCCTTCAATTCTACTACACAGAAGCTGGACAGAGATCTCAGTCTGCTCTCAAGACTTACTGTGGAATGTGAAAACAAAAACAAAGCTCTATCATTTGCTTGCTTCTCAATGATTTCTCTATACCCTTTTACAATACCAAGAAGAAATAAGATTTCAGATAATTGTGGGGGAACCAAATCACTTTATAAGAATCAAAAACATAAAATTTACTTTAAACGGAAGCTGGACAAAGATTTCAATGTGCTCCCAAGTGTGAAGACTTAATGTTGGAATGTAAAAATAATAAAAGCCTTCTCATTTGCTTACTTGTCAATACATCCATCAATAAGAAGTGTTTCACCAAAAGATTGAAATTTTTCAGATCATAAGAAGAATGAATTTCAACAAATGGTTGTGGCAAAGCAAATGGCTTTCTTTCCCATTTGATCTTACAGGAATTAAAAACAAAAAAAGATACTACCTTTTATTGAAAATTCACTAATACAAGTGGAGGAATTAGAAGATCTTGAATGTGTATATATCTGAGCGATTCAATATTTCAAGAGATATTCTTCTTGCGGGCAAGTTCTTTAGCCATCTCTCTGAGCTCTTCAGGAGAAGGAGGACGAGGTGCTTCTTCGGGATAAACAACGTACGAACGATTCCCCATGAATTTCTTGATGTTTGTGCTGTTGTTGGCGAATGTATACATAAGCACGATAGGAACTGCCACGTATACTCCGAACTTGGCGATCTCCAGAATCCCCTTTGATGTTCCTACCGACGACATTTTTTTTATAGAGCAATGCGCAGAGACTCCAAGATCGATGTAATCCAGATAGAAGTAGAACCCACGAGGAAAGCTTGAACCTTTAAGGGTTATCGATTGAGAAATTTGGGATTTTTCTTCTGGGTTTGATCAAAGCGATGATGAGAGATGAAAATGAACGGTAAGGGTATTTTGGTAATTTAATAGAGTAGTTTCCATACGGAATAAAATAAGCCTGGAAGTAGAGGATAATAATGCTTATTGAGAGATATAAAACAGCCTTTTGAATCTCATAAAACATAAAAGTAGTTAATAGTACTTAATACTTACAGAGATGGATCAAAACGAGAAGAATCATATTCATTGGATTAATTAGTTGGTTTCATTTGCTTCACTGACACATTTTAGTGATTAACTGAAACAAAATCAAACCGAACGGAACCGGAAAATATTCGATGGTTGAAGGAAGAATACATAGAAGGATTTGGATAAAACAAAAGTGACACATGAAGATAATTTTTTTAAGATGATCACTGAAATCAGACGCAGCAACAACAGTTACATCTCTCGTAGCAGCAACAGCAACAAAACAACCCGAAAAGCCTGCAATAGATTGAAAACATTTATCATCGATTGATTTTTTCAAGAAAAAGAAAAATATCATAACAATGAAAGAGAAGAGATTAGGGTTTGTACGGACGTGGATAAACAGCCATTCTCGTCTTGCTGTTTCTTGACATGACCGAAGTAAGTCATGTCTTGTTGTGAAGGTGCCTTCATTTTTTTTTCTTTTCTTGTGTGTTTGGCAATATAAGTTTAGGGGTTTGGATTAATTGTATGCAGTATATATAAACTTCAAATCTGTTACCTGTATTGACATGATCATTTAATATGGAGGATGTGCATCATTTATTTGGACCGACAAAGTAGTTAGAATCCTCACCCAAAAACTTCATGTGACAAGAATAGGTCATGGCTTCAATTTGGCTCTAGGTGAAAATATTAGTTTTACTTTTTTATTTATTTTTATTTTAAAGATTTTTTCGTTATCTAATTATATTTACAAAACAATCGAAAAATATAACATTACTATTCAAATAATATACAAACTAACCATAACTTACATAATAATTACTAAAAACTCATTTTTCTTCACGTAAGAAACATATGTTGTCCATATTTTCTTATGGAATATATTATAATATATGATCTTTTCTGGACTATACTATAATATATATTTTTATACAAAAAAAACTTATATAGTATAGTCCTCGAAGTTCTAATTACATATCAGTTTTATATTATCAACTATATCATATCAATTTTAGTATCGTACTATACTACTATTTACAAAAATAATTATTTTATATAATTTATATAGTATGAATCATCAAATGGGGAAGGAGAGAAAAGGGAGGATGGGAGAGGAGAAGATAGGGAGAGGAGAGGAGGGGAGGAAGAAGAAAAGGGTAGTTTGATATATATTGTATAAAATATAAATAATACTATAACACATTTCATATGGTCATTTTATTAATTTTAACTGGTCATATGGTTATTACCGTTAATTTTCCTTATCTTAAATGATCCAGTTGGGAGGATTCATAGGTTTTTCACTTTTTGAGCTCCATTTAAAAAAAAAAAATTGCCGTAGGATTATGGAAATGCCACTTATTGTTAGAAACGAAACAACAACTAACATTGTATTGATGATTAGAGAAGTATGTGAGACTAAAAAAACCCTTGTAAAAGGTAAACAACATAAAACATACAAGATAACTATCAAGGGAAAGAAACAGTAACTGATGATAAACTTCTTTAGTTTTCAAGAAAACATGTATATAGCTACTTAGCTAGTATCCACTATATGATCATTACGGAATTTTGCAATTTGAAAATATACTGTAATGAAAAAATTTACTCGAGTGTTTTCAAACTTTATGATTAGCTATAAATCACTATCACTCGAATGATGAATTTCGCTGCAGGCCAAAACCGGTTGCATCAGATCTCTTCACGATCCTCAGCCTCTTGCATGATTCTTTGAACATCCTGCCAACAAAAGAAAAAAATAATAAGTTTCACAATTTTCTGACTTTTAAGAGGTGAATATATATATATATATATGTATGCATTTCCGTAAATTAATTTGATAACCTATATATGATGTAAGCAAAATGTAAGGTAATATAAACTTACTGCCAAGGTACATCTCCGACGAGCATCCAGTCTCCATCCTTGTCCTCGTATATAATAACGTATTCAAACTTCTCACCCTCCTTCAACGCCACTCCTACACAATCTATGCGTATAAGTCTCTTGCTCTAACATGGCGATAATCATGGTGGATGTTTTAACAACAACAAAAATGGTAATTAATGGATGCAATACTAACCTAGGCCAAGACAGCCGAAGAGATTCTCAAGAACGGTGGCTAAATGATTATAGCCCTGGCTCGAGCCAAGGTCAACCTTCCTCAAGTATGGCACACCATCCATGCTCACTTTCACGTACCCTATCGCTTTCGATGCTTCCTTATTGTTTTTCTTATTTCTCCTATAACAACACACCGGTGGCCACCCCACCACCTGACTCTTAGCCACCGGAGAAGATTCATCCGCAACCTCACCGGCGACAATGTCCACCGATGAAACGACGACGCTATTTTCACCGTCAGTATCTAATGATGACGACGTCATCATGTCTGAGAACACCCTCTTCGTCTTCTTCGATCCGCAAACTAATCTTTCGCCGTTGTTATCTCCTGGAAGGCCCAGTCTCAGCTCTGTGATCTCAAGTCCTAAACCCTCCTTCGCCATTTATTTTCTTTAGTTTTTGTTTGGCTCTGGTTATATGAAATATTGATACTTCTCTTGGTGCAATGATGGTTATGACATTATGTAATACCTTTGTGCATTTATATGTTTTATAGTCGGTCCAACAAGGTCCAATAATATATTGACACGTGGAATAGGTTAATCTTCAAAAACATTTCTATCAGCTTTGTGGAGGAAGACAAGGTTAGACCAAAGACAGGTCAAATGAGGATACGGTGTTTGTAACATGAGAGACATAGGTTGGGTCCTTGTTTATAAAAGAGTTAAATTAAGGGAACAGATCCTAAGGCTTTATTTGTTAGGTTTTTTTAAAAGGATTTTTCGTTAACCGTCGATAATATAATTGATATACTTCCCAAACATCCCATGTGTCATCCTTAATTTGGATGTTTAAGATTCTCTACCCGTTAATAATTTCAACTAAAATCTGTAAAGTATACTAATATTATTGGTTCAGCCTATTATTGTTATATTAGTAATTGTTAAAATTTGCACTCTAAGCAAAAAAAAATGTTGCACATACAACTACATAATGTCCAATGAAAAGAAAAAAATACACATAACGTCTGGAATCCAAAAAACGTTAAGCCCTTATCATGACTTTCATGCTTTTCTCATTTTTTCTATTTTCAACTCGAATATAGCTTTTGCAATATAAAATTATACTATATTTTTAAAAGTGAGTTGGACTTGTCTTGACTATTGAATGATGAAGAACAACAAGTTGGTCCATTTGAGATAATATTAATCATAACCATTAGGCAAACGCGTTACTTCCACTTCATAACAAACAACATTCGTAGCCCCAATTGTTAAACTACTTCCCCAATTTTCAATGCATGTATGTCCCATTAATTCTCCTTTATACTTATATACATCATTTGTACTGAATCCTGAATACATTAATGTAAGTGTCTGCCCAAAATCCTTTGGTATAGTTTTCCCACGTGATTTAGTAGAGAAGCGCACGACCATATCAAAATAAGACTAAATATATGTTCCTACATCGGGTAGCTAAATGATGAAGCCGCATGATCTCAACTTTGATAGAATTATTAGTTGGGCATATATAATAATTCTTGTAAAAATAACGACACTCTGATTAATATATTTGGGTTTATACACAACTTGAATCGGCAGAATATTTTTGTTGGAAATCATCAAGGGAACTAAGAAAATCAATATTACATATGTATGATGATAAAGAAAGGCAGATATCACAACAACAACAAACAAAAAAAAAGAAGATTAAATATGAATGATTCTGAAATGTTGATTATACAGGTCCTTGGTATATGTAATCCCTTTTTTTTTGGTTGATTCGATTAACATAAGGATCTGACCAAACTTTTCTGAGAAAGCTAAAAAATCATAAAATCATAAAATAGACTTAAACAGTTAACTTAATGGGATGTATTGAAACTAAAATTTTAGAAAAATTGAAAAGATTTGAGTTTTAATGAAATTTTAGAAGACATTATGTGGATTGGGAAAGTTGATATGATTTGATATTAAAATTATATGAAATCCTACTTAAAACAATGAAATTTGGGTTTCTATATTTTTATGTTTTTAACTAACAAACTCCACCAAATCATTTAAAAGTACTCAATATATTTCAAAATCTACTATTTAAAATATTTTCAATAACAGTGGATTTGATTTAGTTTTTATAAATTGTTGATTGAATAACATGGATTTTAAATGACTTTAGTTACTTTATATAAATTTCATGTTTAATAACATCAATTTTGGTGAGACATTTAGAAATCATTAATTCAATAAGAGAGATTTTTAAAACAACTACCAAATCTTCTGAAATTCTTAATCCAATACACCCTCCTAAGTAATTTTCTCTAAATATAAATATTCAAAGATATTTGGAGATAATTCAAATATATTGCTGCTTCAAGTCTCTATCGAATCTGATATATATTTAAATGACTACTGAATTGGTTTCTTTTGCTGACTGAATTAACACTAATCTATGTTTGAAAATTTCATGCATAATGGTATTTTAGTACCAAACAGCAAAAAAATAAAGTGAAGTATATAGGTCAGAGTTAAAAGTTATAAATTGTTTTAAAGGTTTCAAACGAAACACATATACTCCTAGTTTGAATCTTTGTTTTTGAAGAAACTTTATTAATTAAAAATAGATTTAAGTAATTATTTTTAAACTTCTAAGATATTTCTAATGCAGTCTCTTGTATATATTCTTCTGCTCCAAGGTATTGGACTTATGTGTCTGGCCCGAATCCACCATAATTGACGCATGAATGTCTTCATTTGGAAGAAGCCCAATTTAACCAGAACATAAGAGAACATACTTTAAAATAAATACTTGTCACCAGACTCACCACAATGTACACACGGTCTGTTGATTTATTTTAATTTAAACGTGGCATTGAGAACTATACATGTGTACTAGTTATTATCTATTGAAGAAAATAAGATCTAAAGTATTTTTGATCGTTATGGAATCCAACGCGAAGACATGCAAATCCAGATTCGAAAAGCTTTTCTAACCATTCTTTTCGCATGTAAACTGCTGCAAAACACAATCAAATCTGTATCAAAATTGTATTTTATATACTCAACAGAAAATATACCTAACAAAACTAAATTTGAATACGAAAAAATTGTTATGCTAACCTTGTGGTCCGTTCGTGGTTTTCCACCAAACTCGTGACATCGTAAATAACAAAAACATGCCTAAGATTACACAATACAAAAGCTTAATAGCCATTAGATATAGAGGAAGGTAGAGAGATGATGAGATATTTTCTCCGTTTTTTTTTTGGCGGCTTCCAATACAATTGATGATAGATTTATAACTCTTCATATGTTTTGAACATTAATTTTTGATCATTGACCATTTGACAGATTTTAAAGTGTCATATTAATGGTTTTAGGTCCTCTCATTTATAAATATGTATATTCTTTGCCACCTTTAAATGATATTGGACAATATCTTCTTCTTCTTCTTTTTTTCTTAACGTGTGCCTAACTTTTGTTCAACTAATAAGCTTTAACAAAGATTAATAAATACATCTCTATCGTAGTTATTTCAATGTTATGTTTCTTTCAGAACGTTTCCTATCCGACAGGAAACTTGTCCATGTATTTATAAATGTATAACTGGTTGAAAATTTGGTATGATATTTATTGTGCCGTCACACTACACATGGTATTGACGTTCTCGTCAGATTTAGAACGGATCTAAGCATTCTAATTCTCAGTTTCCATCTATAAGTTCAAATATATATTGAGAAAATGATATGAAAATGTTATAAACTGTAATTAAGAAGAGGTATTAGAGATATTTGTTATATATCTTGCTTGAAAGAAACGAAAGATAAAGCTTGAATGTAGTGTGATTAATCTGGCAAAAGGGAAAATCTAACACAGCCAATTCTCAGATTGAGTATGTTAAGGTTTCTTTCTTACCATTTTCTTAAGGATCAAACATTATTACTACTATTGAAAAACAATTTATGTTAAAGTAGCTATTTACCCAAAAAAACAATTTATGTTAAAGCAAGACTTATCATCCGTCAATCTTTTCGTTTGTACTATATTACAAAACATATATTTATTATTGAAAACACATTCGTTCTCTATATTCTCTTGTTTCACGTAAAACCAAACATGCTTCAATATATAATTATTATTAGAGATAATATAGGAAGCAAGAGTTTTTCTCTGTAGACCCTTCGACGCAGCAGTATCAAAGGATATTTAGTATGGCTTGTGTCTGCCTTTCTTTACGTGACTCTGTTCGAATGTCTCGAAGCACACGAAACAAAAATGGCTAAAGCCAGTTACAGTTTGCTCCTTCTTTGGAATCCAATATGCCACATCCATTTGTTTTCCAAACACTTGAGAGTGATGATCTTTTAATAATTATATGAGTAGATAAGAAAATTCACGAGGTTTGGTAACGTGGCTACGTTTTCTCCGATCTGTTTCCGATTAGTTTGTAGCTCTCCGATCTATCCTGTTGAGTAAATCAGATCACCTGAGAAATTCTAATAAAACGTCTCACTATTTAAAAAGCTAAAAAAGTTTATCCCTCTTATGAAATATATTTTTAACTGAAAATAATTAGTAACTAGTGAATAGTGAACTGTTCTTATCAACTGATAATGAGTGAATTGTTTGACTTCTTTATTTATCAGTGGATCATATATCTTATTAACTACCATGAAATGTTTAACAATTTGTACTTATAACATGAGAACATTGGTATCTAGTTTCGTGTATATACAATTTACTTTCATGAAGACATATTATATATTTTGGAATTGGAATCTTTACGCTTTTAGGTTACAAATATTGTAAAGTACGTAATATTGCCTAACGTACAAGAATCAATAGTATAAATCGGTTACTGTAATTTATAATTACTGTGACTGAATTATAGTAACAACATTTGATGATCATCATTTTATTAAAAATTAGAACTCAAACAAGTTTAAAATAAAAAAAAGGGCTGGAATTTGTTCTGATAATTTAGGGGGAAAAATTATACACAATTAGATAACATCATATACTATTAATATCACATTCAACAGACCAAGTAATCAGTAACCATAAAGTTTTGTTTGATTAAGTAATCCTCTTGCAGGTAGATAGGCTCATTGAATATTAATCAAAACAAAACATAGCAACGATCTCTATACTACTACCACACGCATATATACTAGAGTATAATTATGTAAGGAAAAACATGTGGTTAATAAAATTGGAAAATCCAAATTCAACGGTAAGACTTAAGAACGGAGCCACAGAAACTGCATACGACGGCTCTCCAAGATCTCCAGTAAATAGGAACGAAACAGAATCTCGTCGACGTCTTCATGTCGGCGATGCTCGCGCCATGGCCGCACCGTGAGCAAGTTCCTGCCGCCGGTTTGCTCCGTTTCATTTTCCTCTTCTGATCCACCAAGAAGCAGAAACATACCATATCTTCTTGGTTCAGGTTTAGACCAATCAAGAATCAGAAAAAGAAAACTCTTCTGGATATATACGGCCACGATTGGTTTCAGAGAAGAATGTTTCTCTATGTATATATATTTTTTTAATGGTAGAAGCGGTGGGTTTGGAGTTTTATGGTCTGTGGGAATTTTTGAGCTTATAAATAATACAATATAGGACGAGGAATTAATTGAAGGTTAAAACAAATACTCGTGTGATGGAGTACAGAGTAAATATTTGAGAGATTGACATACACACACGTACAACCCTCAATAAATTATCTGTTATTTGCCGTCGAAAACAAAAAAAAAAAATCATTAAATTAAACAAAAAAAATTATTTTTATAAAAGCTATGTAAAACTTTATGCTATTTTAGTATGTTTTTTTTTCTTTTTTTAACATTGCTATTTTAGTATGTTTTCATTACGTTATACTAACATTGTATTTGTAGCATATAAATAAATAATTTATAAAAAAAATTAAGTATAGAATTACTAACAATTTACATTTTAGCTACATGGATATGAATTTTTGCTTTCGGCTCATTTAAATACTTAGAGAAAAGATGTATCTATATCTATAGACAACCTCTTCGTAGGTTAGGATTTCCTAAATTATTTAAAAAAAACAACTGTAGTGATTTTATTTCTTCTAAAAAAAATTGACAAGTTTGAAAAAAAGGTACGTAGGTTCAAAGCCTCTTCATATAAATGTCATTATGATTTTTCTTAGTGGCAAAGGATTTGTGTCATGAGGAAGGTGTGAATAGCTGACACGTGGAAAAACAGTTGGAGGTTGAGTTTGTCATTTGTCTTAATCAGTAAGATGAGAGGATCATGCATGACAAAACCTCTCCTCAATTTTCTATTTTTCTGCTGTTTTATGTGAACTATTTTTTTCTCAATTTACCAACAACATTTGCATTTATTAATCCACATACATATGTAATATAGAAACTTAAATATATTTCGGTGATAAACGGCAGGTATGGCAAACCATTTTTATATCGTTGAATCGTATAAAAACATTCAATGTAGGTGTTGAATATATGGTAGGACACTTTTTCCTTACGGCACGATCATGTTTTGTTGTTTTGATCTACACTTAATTAAGAATCGAAACTTGTAATTACGGAACATATTTCTCTACATATTCTATGTCGTCTAGGTCTAACCTAATGAGTTTTGATTTAAGTAATCATTCTGACCTAAGAGGACAAGAAGCAAATACATATGTGCATGACTATATATAGTTGAGAAATTTTGTTTATCATTAACATTGGTAATATTCGTAATATATAATTAAGAGTAAAAAAATGAATTATAAACTTTCTCCATCCCATAATCCTCCATTATTTCTTCCGTATGAGTATGACTAATTGACTATATCATGTGCAGCCAAAGAAGGAAAAACCACCATAAATTAATTATGCCGATTATTTCGGACAGAAACATATGGTTGCTTTCAGAGAAAAATCACCCCATTCAGCAAAATATAAATAATCGAACATAATCAACCAATAAAATGCGATGGCTGAATTTATTGCAACCACTTAATTATTTTACATGTTTATTAGTAGTATTAATAATTCCACACTGACATTACAGTTTTGTTGATAATTCCACACTGATATTACATTTTTGTTGATAATTCCACACCATCATATATATGTACGTAAATGGCTCAAATATAGCCTTATAAAAACTCAATAAAAAGAAGAATCAATTATTTCGGACAAGTTTGAATATTTTATAAAGTTAACAGTAGCTAACTAATTTTCTAAGTTCTACTACTACAGTACTACTTCAACTGATCATAAATTTGAATGGGAAGCCAAAAGAAAAAAGGAAAAAAAAACCCAGTCATGGGTTGGGCTTTTCTGGGCCAAGCAAGAGGCCATGCTACATTGGTCCGAATCCCAAATTTTCGAAAAGGTCATATTTTTAAAAGACAAGTAACTCCTCACGCTGTCCGCGATATTCAGAGGGGAACACCACGCCGTTTCTAAACCCAGGGTGTTGTAAATTAATAAAAATAAAAAATCCGACCTGCCGGAATCGAACCAGCGACCTAAAGATTTGCTGTCACAGACTACAGTCTTCCGCTCTACCAACTGAGCTAAGGTCGGTTTGTATTAATCAATCCATATTAATAAATATAAATACGTTTTCTCTCCAATTCTATAAATTATGAAGACTCGTTTCAGCGTTGTAGGAATCTGGTACCTTCCTGAAATTTATAAGTCGATTCCAGGTTAAAAACCTTTCGAAATTAGGAACTAAAATATCGAAAATGGCTCCTACAATACTAATAACATAGTAATATTCGATCTAGTCTGGTTAATTTGTTTTCTTTTTTTTTGGTAATGGAGTTTGTTTATCATCTTGGTGAATTGTAATGGAACGAGTTTAAAAGAGGATTATGTTGTGCCATTAATATGTTGTTCTTATTAGGCTTCACTCTAAGTTGTATCCTAATCTTTATGGGAACTTTCCAAGGAAAAGCCATCCACAAACAATGAAATAAAAGAAAAGCTCTAACTTCGTTGAGTGATTAATTACAATGATTATTGATTAACATATTTTGTGTTGATTTTCTTTTTGTTTGTTGATCTTCAGAATAGCATTTGATATATTTGACACATTCATGGATTTAAGGTATGACCGTACGAGTCTGGTTCTTAATTGACATTGCATCTGCAAAACTCAATTGAAGAACAAGCTGTGAATCTTTCTATAACAAAAATAAATATAAAAATGATCTTCTTTCTTTGGCAATAATCGAATACTTGGCTACAAATACAATTAAATCCAAAATATATGAAAACTAAAAGTTGGACCCATCTTTTTAATTGATACAATTAATGATATTATTATATAATTGAATATTTTATGGTTATAAAAATTTTCATCATTTATTTTTGTGAAGAGAATGTTTGTACTTGTGGACAGTTCTCACTCCCAAACTTTCTAGAGTATCTGATCGTAGCCGTCCATTGTCTAAGTCAAACATGTTCTATAGGTCAAACAAATAAATCACAACCGTTAGATTTAAAAAAACGCTATAACATAATTGTATCCGAACATTGCTTACGTGGATTCTTCACGACTCACACAAATCAGTAATAAGATAGCATCCGTTTCAAATTCCGCAACTCGGAGAAACCGAGCGAGTCTGACTCTGAGTTACGGCCGAGTCAACTCGTTACTTACAAAAAAAAAACTCGGTTCTTCTCCGCCATGGCTGCTGCTGCTTCTTCACTCCACACCTCAATCTCTCCGCGTAGCTTCCTCTCTCTCTCAAAACCGTCTCCGAAACCCCGCCGCCCCCAAATTTTCCTAAGAAACAAACGAAGCAGCTGCGTTTCGTGCGCGTTGATCCATGATGAAATCGATCTGATTCCTGTGCAGAGCCGAGATCTCACGGACCACGAGGAAGTTTCCGTGGTGGCTATGATCACTGAGACGGAGAGAGATGTGGCCGAATCGGTGGTTGTCGGATTCGGTGCTGCGACGAGCGAAGGTCGGCTTTCGTTGGAAGGGTTCTCTTCTTCTTCTGTAGCTGATCTGGGAGACGAGATAAGTCGAGAGAGCGACGAGACGGAGAAGATGATCGATCGGAGCATCAACGCCACAATCGTTCTAGCTGCTGGTACTTACGCCATTACCAAATTGCTCACCATCGATCATGATTATTGGCATGTAAGTATGAACTGAGATTCTGCTTCATCCTCTTCATTCAAATCGTAGACAACAATTTTTAACAAAAAAAAAAGAAGTCTTGAGTGTGAATTTGATGTTGCTTGAGTGATTTGTTCTAATGCTCTTTTGTTTCCACCACAAAGATTGTGAATTTGATATTCTCTGGAGTGATTAGCCTTCCGCAGTATGATTTCTTGGTGATACGACAGATTATATTGGAGTTTTCTTGAATGTTTTTGAACTTACTGCGTTGATTTGTATGGAATCTTGAGCTTTGTGTTTGATGGTTTTGTAAATCTCAGGGATGGACACTGTTTGAAATTCTAAGATACGCTCCTCAACATAACTGGATTGCTTACGAAGAAGCGTTGAAGAGAAACCCTGTTCTTGCGAAAATGGTCATAAGTGGAGTTGTCTACTCTGTAGGAGACTGGATAGCTCAGGTTCTTGTTTTCTTCTCTATGAGCTTTGAATTCGAATCGTTTTGGTGAGATTGAACAAATCTTTCTTTCTGCAGTGCTACGAAGGCAAACCGTTGTTTGAGATAGACAGGGCAAGAACCTTGAGGTCAGGACTTGTGGGTTTCACTCTCCATGGCTCTCTGTCTCATTTCTATTACCAGTTCTGCGAGTTGCTTTTCCCTTTTCAAGATTGGTGGGTGGTTCCTGCTAAGGTCGCTTTTGATCAAACCGTGTGGTCCGCTATATGGAACAGTATCTACTTCACGGTTCTTGGGTTTCTTCGTCTCGAGTCGCCTCTCAGCATCTTCCAAGAACTCAAAGCTACCTTCTTCCCCATGTTAACCGTAAGAAGAAGATCTTTCAAGTTTCCTCTCTCACTTGTGTAGTTTCAAAGATTCAAAGAATCAACCATGCTTTGGCTTTTGAATGCACAGGCAGGGTGGAAGCTTTGGCCGTTTGCTCATTTGATCACATACGGTTTGGTTCCTGTGGAACAACGACTCCTCTGGGTTGATTGCGTTGAGCTTATTTGGGTCACTATACTTTCAACGTGAGTTTCAAAAACTATCTTTTTCAAGTCCTCTTCCTTTTTATCAAAGTGTCTTAAATCAAATCGTTTTCTTTCTCTTTGTTTTTCTGCTTATGTTCTTGATTTCAGTTACTCAAACGAGAAATCAGAAGCTAGAATATTGGAGCCTGTCACTGAGACCTCTTCGAGTTCTACTACATCCAGTGATGATCCCTCCAAGGTACTTACTACATCCCGAACCTTTCGCATTCGTTTCACAAGAACATCGATCTAACACGAACTCATGGTTTTGGTTTATAACAGGAGGAATGAGAAAGCTAAAAGCCAAAGCTATGTGTTGTATATATATATACAGAGTTAGCCAATAGAGTGGCTAGAGATTTGAGATTGTTACAGAAGAGATGAAAAATATTCAAATTTCAAATGGATGGATGATGGATCTCTCTTTATGTGTAAGAAGATTAACAACTATCTTGAATACACCACAGAAACAATTTTATTCCAACTCTATTGATATTACAAGTTTACAAACAGATGTCAGAGTTCTATATTTGTGTTGACAAATGTGGAACAATAACTCTTAGTTTATGCCACTCAATTATATTTCTACTAGTGACTATCATTAGATCCCTAATCTTTAGTTTAATCATAGTCAATATTTTAATATTTGCTGAAAAATAAGGTTTTTTAGTAGATTGTTTTCTCATAGGTGGCGAATTTACCAAGCCAAGCATGATGTACCATCTTATCTGTTTCCACTACATGCCGCGTGAATAAGACTGATCAGTGAGAAACATATAAAAAAAAAGCTTAAAGCCAAAAGAAAAGAGGATTGGCCATCGACCAAATCCGGATTCGAGAGCCCAAAATTTTCAAAAAAAGACAAAACCTAAAAGAAAGACAAAACCTAAAGAAGAGGAAAAGGGAAGATCTTCTACCTCTGCCTTGTCGGAGTTCGCTTCGAGCCTCGCCAAACAGTGAGACTGAAGGGGGTTTCTTTCCTCCTCAGTTATATGCCATAACATCCATGTAGAGAGAATTCATACTCTGCTCTTATCGTGGTCTATTTACCCTACATCCACCTATACCAAACATCAGATGAGTATCACGATCTACAGACGGGATATCCGAACCACCAACACTTTACCAAACCTATCCTTTGAATTCCTGTTCCCAGTAGGACGTTCATTGACTTGAGCGTCGGAGAACCTTCAAGAGGAAAAACCCCTTCCAGTACCCTCGGAGACTCAAGTTATTCGCTTGCATGTATGTACAGAATCCTGCCAGACTTTCACTCCAAAGCCACATACCACTCATCCTCTCCCTTCAGAAGACGAGATTTGGAAACCCAACTTTACTATCCCAAACGATCACACATTCTTCGTAAACATTCTGTAATTTGGTCCCAAACAATAATATAAAAATTTATTAAATTTTATTTTGGTATATGTTATATACTTTTATAAAACGTGACATGAAGATGAGTTATTATATATATATATATGTATATATATGTTTTTATATTATCAATACATTTTGTTATTATATATCTTTGTTCGAAAACTCGGCCGCCGCAACCGTTTATGTGGAAACTAACCGATCAGTGGTTGAATATCGTGGAGACTATGTTATAATCAGAAAAATAATCAAATTTGATCAGAAATTATGTTTTTCTTTAGTTTAAAAATTAAAATAGGTTACTATATGATATATCTATAAATCTAAAGTATTAAGCAATAAAAAAAATAAAAAAATTTAAAGAAATCTGGAACAAAATTGATGGCGGCCACGCATTAGGTTGTGGAGTCGCAATACTTTGATGAAGACGAAAACAGAATTACGTTTTTATCCTTTATTAAAGAAAAATCAAAATATTTGGACAAAATCACATGAAATGTGCTTCAAACTCATGATCTCACATATGAAAATCATGTTTGGATCCATTATACCACTAAAATATACTTCTTCCGTTTTTAATGTATAATGTTTTAACATTTTTATACATATTAAGACACACTTTAATAATTATATTTTATTTTATTTTTAGCTGTTTTTTAGTAATATATTAACACTTTTCTTTTTCTTATTGGCATAAAATTTATTATAAAACTAAATACATTATTTAAAATCTAAAACATCAATCTTCTGAAAACAAAGAAGATGGAATTAAGTTTTAACCTTTTATTAAAAAAAATTGAAACATTTGGACAAAATCACACCTCTTCAAACCCACGACCTCACATATGAAAATCACGCTTGGATCCACTATGCCACTAAAATATATTTTCTTCGTTTTTTAAAATATGATGTTATAACATCTTCACACATATTAATACATACTTTAACAATTATTTTTTTATTTTAGCTACTTTTTATGTTTTAGTAATATATTAACACAAATTTATTCTTTTTTTACTGGTACAAGAATTAAATACATTATTTAAAATCTAAAATTTCAATTTTTTTTTTTAAACTAAAACATCTCATGAAGACGGAATTAAGTTTTTATCCCTTATTAAAGATATATCGAAACATTTGGAATGCGCTTCAAACCCACGACCTTATATATGAAAATCACGCTTGGATCCATTATGCGACTAAGATATACTGTCTCCATTTTTTTAAACTATGATGTTATAAAATCTTCACACATAACACGACTTCTGTTTTTCTCATTGATACAATTTTTTTTGTAAAATTAAATATATTATTCAAAATCTAAAACATCAATCTTTTAAAAACAAAGAAAAAATCTAAAACATAATACGAAGATGTAGTTAAATTTTTACCTCTTATTAAAGAAAAATTAAATATTTAGACAAAATCACATAGAATGCGGTTCAAACCCACAACCTCACATATGAAAATCACGCTTGGATCCACTATGCCATTAAAATATAGTATTAGTTTATATTCAAATATTATATATATAATAAAATAAAAGTCTTAAAACTAATCCTTGAGTAATCCTTGATTTATTTCTGTATTTTTAAAAAATTACTAAAGCCAGACACAAAGCTATATACTATGAATTAATTAAATTTATGAACAGAATTATGTATTTTATCTAAATTTATTTCTTGTTGATAGCTAACTATATTTATATCAATCATCTAAAATTGAAATGTACACAGCAATATTTATGTTTACAGCTTTAAATTTACCAATTATACTTTATAAATTTTATATTTTCTTTATTTACTTACAGTCAAAATATATCTTTTTAATTTTTTTAACTGTATAATTTTTTTTATATCACATTATTTTATATTTTTCAAATTTTACAATTCTACTACCAAATTTTTTTAAAAAATAACTACATCAAAAAAAGTCATAGCCATATTTCTACAAAAAAAAAAAAAAGTAAAACGACAGCTATTATTTAATCACTCAATAAGAGTGATTAAAAAAACCTATTTTTTATTAAGTAAAACTTGGTGACGGTGGCGAGGAGTCGAATCATCATCTTGTTCAACCTTTTCCTCTTCTCCACTACTTGAGCTCACCTTCCTTGTCTTCCATTCCTCACAAAGTCACAGCTTCTCCGTCTCACTCTCTCTGCTCCGAGCCCAGATTCTCCTCTCTCCCCTCTCCATTTCACTCTCGGCTTACCTACCTCTCAGATCCAGAATTGTGCCGCATATCCTTGCGCATCCGCGCTCTTCGTCTCCGCCACTTCCATCGCTGGAATCTGGTCGGCGGGTGTTTTTTGCTTCTCCAGTGATTCGTTTGGGAGCGATTGGAAGAATTAGGGTTTAAGTGATTTGTGAATTGTGACTCACCAGGTTAGTTGAGTTGAAATTGGCTTTTGTTGATCAAATACATGTAACTAGTTTCAGTGAAGAATCTGAATTTTTCTATAACGTTGGGTAATCTGAAAGAGTAGAGGACGATTTGGATAAAAAATGGTGTTATGATGTTCAACAAAGTATCTTCTTTGAAATTTTTAACCTAAAAAAACTATTTGTATCTATTGCAGAAAGGTTTGCATTCGAAGGTGGATTATGATGTCAATGCTCTATCACAATCCTTCGTGCTTGGTAAGATGCATTTTGATACTAAGCTTCATCTTATGAATACATACTCATATGCTAAACACAATCTTTCTTTTCTCTTAGAAAGAGGAGTTGTAAATGCAGCCACTGAGTCTTCCTAAGTCTCTTCTTGGCTATGAATAAGCATTAGTGTGAAAGCCTTCTTTGAGTAGTTCGTAATCAATATGTTATATCCATTAATCACATATATTATACTATAATAAACCGTCTGACATACATATAAAAATATGAAATCGATTTTTTGAACTAACCCGACACTTCTCTTTGCAGGAGATTTCTCTCAAGTGAACAATTTGGAAAGAGTGTTCTGCCATTGTTGATTAGGTACGTTTCCATTGACATTCAAGAAACCATTCATGATTTCCCCTACAATCAAAACAAAATGTGATGTTTAATTAGTAAACACGAATTGTATAAGAGGAAAAACATTTACAGATAATATATACATGATGGGGATTTCTTAACATAATTTTTATGTGTTTAATATGTTGTGTGAGATTTGCGAAATTTATTAGCATAATATTGGTTGTTTAGATATAAGTTGGCGAAATTTATGCAATATGTGTAATGATTGGTGTTGATATATTGCCATTATTACACAGAATTGCCGTTTGTAAAACAGGGAAACATGTAATCAAGCTCCTAAGATTTTCGAATTACAAAGAGATCCCATTTCCTTTTTCAGAAGCCGGTAATTAAGTTTACTTTTTCAAAAGCCGGTGATTAAGTTTACTTTTTCAAAAGCCGGTGATTAAGTTTATTAGAGTAAAACCAATGATTATTATCAATAGCGATTACATTCTGAATCATCTCTTCGATCTGATCTAGCTTTTTTTTTTTTTTTTTTTTTTTTGCTTCATGTTTTGAAGGCCTCTGCTTCGAGCTCCACAGGGTTTATCATCTTCTCACAGAATTTCACCCAAGGAAAAATGACGAAATCACTCTCTCGACTGGGTTTCCTCTGTTTCTTCGTCTTTGTACTCTGTTTCCAGAATTGCACAGTTGCGCAGAACAGTGTCGAAGATGCCAAGGCTATGCAAGCTCTCAAATCGAGCCTGAATCTCACATCAGACGTCGATTGGTCTAATTCTAATCCTTGTAAATGGGAATCAGTTCAGTGTGATGGGAGTAATCGAGTTACGAGGATTCAGCTTAAGCAGAAAGGGATTCGTGGGACTCTCCCTCCTGATATTCAGAAACTCTCGGAATTGACTGTTCTCGAGCTCTTCCTCAACCAAATCTCTGGTCCAATCCCTGATCTCTCCGGTCTCACTCGTCTGCAGACACTGAATCTACACGGCAATCTCTTCTCCGCCGTACCCAAGAACCTCTTCTCCGGCATGAGTTCGCTCCAGGAAGTGTTTCTCGAGGACAACCCCTTCGCTTCCTGGGAGATTCCCCAAAACATCAAGGAGGCGACGTCTCTGCAGAATCTCACCCTCTCCAACTGCAGCATTACTGGAACAATCCCCGATTTGTTCGGCTCTCAAACGCTTCCAAGCTTGACCAACCTCAAATTGTCTCAGAACTTCCTGCACGGCGAGTTACCGGCGAGCTTGGCAGGTTCTTCAATCCAATCTCTCTTCTTGAACGGTCAAATGGGTGAGACGAAACTAAACGGATCAATCTCGATACTGCAGAACCTAACTTCGCTTGTTGAGATCTCTCTGCAAGCAAACTCCTTTACAGGTCCGATTCCTGATCTCTCTGGTTTGCAATCTCTCCGAGTGTTCAATGTAAGAGAGAATGATCTCACTGGTATCGTTCCACAGTCCTTGACTCTCCTGAAATCGCTCACCACTGTGAATTTAACCAATAACCATCTTCAAGGACCGACTCCAGTATTCGGCAAATCCGTTGGTGTAGATATATACCCCAAGATGAATAGCTTCTGTCAAGATACAGCTGGTGCTCCATGTGATCCTCGTGTTGATACTTTGCTCTCTGTAGCTGAATATTTAGGATACCCATTGAATCTCGCGCAGTCTTGGAAAGGAAACGATCCATGTGATAGCTGGACTGGGATTACTTGTTCGGGAAGCAACATTACTGTGCTTAATCTGAGGAACCAGGGTCTACCTGGTACGATATCTCCGTTTTTAGCAAACCTTACTTCATTGGAAACCATCAATCTCTCTGGCAATAAGCTCACGGGGAGTATACCGAAGGAGCTTACCACATTGACTAAGCTTAAGACTCTCGATGTGTCCAACAACAATATTTATGGAGCTGTGCCAAAATTTACGGAAAGTGTGCATGTGGTGACTGATGGAAACGCTAATATCGGAAAGGATGGACCTGTCTCACCGGCTGGTACTCCTGGAGCTCCAGGGGGAGGAGGAGGGTCTGGAGGAGCTTCTGGAGGAGGAGGTTCTGGTGGAAGTGGGAAATCAAGCAATGCCAAGATTATTGTTCCGGTGGTTGGCGGTGTGATCGGTGCATTGTGTCTGGTTGGGCTCGGAGTATGTCTCTACGCCAAGAAAAGAAAGCGACCCGCTAGAGTACAGAGTCCAAGAGGCAACATGGTGATTCATCCGCATCACTCGGGAGACAACGATGCCATCAAACTCACCGTCGCAGCTTCTAGTCTCAACAACAATGGAGGAGGAAGCGAGAGCTGTTACAGTCACAGCGGAAGCGGGGATGGTGATATCCACGTTGTGGAATCTGGGAACTTGGTTATATCGATACAGGTCTTGAGGAATGTGACGAACAACTTCAGCGAGGAGAATATTCTCGGGAGAGGCGGTTTCGGGACGGTTTACAAAGGCGAGCTCCACGATGGGACGAAAATAGCCGTGAAGAGGATGGAGTCTTCGGTTGTAAGTGATAAGGGGCTTGCTGAGTTTAAATCCGAGATCACTGTCTTGACCAAAATGCGTCATCGTCATCTCGTCGCGCTTCTTGGGTATTGCCTTGATGGTAGCGAGAGGCTTCTTGTCTACGAGTACATGCCACAGGGAACACTGAGCCAGCATCTGTTCCATTGGAAAGAAGAAGGTCGAAAACCGCTCGAATGGACCAGACGGCTGGCTATTGCATTGGATGTAGCTCGAGGTGTCGAGTATCTACACACGCTTGCGCATCAGAGTTTCATCCATAGGGATCTAAAGCCATCGAACATCCTTCTTGGTGATGATATGCGCGCTAAAGTCTCTGACTTTGGGTTAGTCCGTTTAGCCCCTGATGGCAAATACTCCATCGAGACTCGTGTCGCTGGGACCTTCGGATACCTTGCCCCAGAATATGCAGGTACCCTAAAGTTTCGTGCTTTTTATTGATTTGCGTTTTACCCAAATGTCAAAGTTTTGAATGTGGTTTGATTTTGGCAGTGACGGGAAGAGTGACGACCAAAGTCGACATTTTCAGCCTCGGGGTCATACTTATGGAGCTGATCACTGGCCGTAAAGCCCTGGACGAGTCGCAGCCCGAGGACAGCGTCCATCTAGTGACATGGTTCCGTCGGATCGCAGCGAGCAAAGACAAAGACGAAAACGCCTTCAAAAACGCGATCGACCCGGTCATCAAGCTCGACGAAGAAACCTTAGCCAGTGTCGAAACAGTCTGGGAGCTCGCTGGTCACTGTTGTGCACGCGAGCCTTACCAAAGACCCGACATGGCTCACATCGTTAACGTCCTTTCTTCACTCACCGTCCAATGGAAACCCACCGAGACAGATGCCGATGACCTCTACGGGATAGACTATGATCTTCCGCTGCCGCAGGCTGTTAAGAAATGGCAAGCTTCCGAGGGATTTAGCCAAACCGTGGACGACTCTGGATCTTCGTCTTCCGTTTACGGAAGCAAAGACAATACACAGACAAGTATCCCTACTCGCCCATCTGGATTTGCGGACTCCTTCACTTCTGTGGATGGACGTTGAAGAAATAAAGCCTGCGTTTTCCGATCTCGTTGAAAAGTTTAAATAGTATGAAGCATTGTGTGAATGTTTTCTCTTTTCTTTTTGTTTTTGTGTGTTCTTCCTTTATTTTTTTTTACTCTGAATCATTTACTTATGACTTCTTTTCTAAGTTATTGTTATTATCTACATTCTAGTGTTTATGAATAAACTATCTTTGAGAGGTCTTAGATATGAAGCTCTTTCTTCCTATTTCGACGTTTCTTCAAACTTAATTTGTTGTTTTACATTTTGAGTTTGAAGTAGTAGTTTTGAGAATGAATGAATTGATTCTTTCACATTTTGATTTCCCTTTCAACATTGGTTTCTTGAATAAAGACGATTTGTGGATCCCAGATAAAAACTCTGGTTTTGTTATCAAATATACTATATTATGTTTGATTTTGCAGTGCTTATAGTATTACTGTAGTTCATACATATCTCAGTTGTAAGTAAATTGCTCAAACATGTTTTGTGTCGTATCTACGAATTGTCTGTATTGGTACTATTATCTTATTGGACCATCAATGTCGATGACTTCCAAATTACAACAAAGTCAACGGGATAGGCTGATACTTGCGAAATACGTAACAAGTAGGGGAATGAAATGTAACCAAGTAAAAGGAACGGGGATCGAGTGATTTAAAGCGGAATGGGGTGGAGTAACAAAGAGGTGATGTGGTCTTTGAGATTTCCTTGAGGATTGGTGAAATCATCAGTACCTTCCTTGTAATACACATCGATCACTCGCGGGATGTTTAGACATCGCAACAAAATCTGCCGTGGCACACAAGTTGTCTTCAAGAACTCATCGATCACTATCTTATAGCTATCTCTGCACATCTTTTGCAACTCTCTAACCGCTTCTTCTTTGGTAACACCATATTGCTTCATGTAACAGTTGACCCCATTCGCCACCTCTCCTCTGCTCATCTCTCCCTGCCCTCATTCATGTATATCTAATTAATATATAACCTTGACTTTAATAGTATTGTAAGAGTTGTCATTTGTATACCTCGAAGGTGGCTATGTCGTTCCCCAAACGGTAGATAATACTTAAAGCTTCGAAGATTTTGGGTTCAGAACTGAACCATTCGTTCGTTTGCTTCTCATCACAATCTTCCATACCGATAAAACTGTATGATGCATAGTCATTCATCCCTGCAGTGACCAGACCAACCTCCATGTACTCATCAAAGGTTGGCACGTGGCCTTCGCGAGCCCATCTTGATATCGCTAAGTATCCTCTCCCCAAGGACTTAGTCTACAGTTTCATTAATTATTTTAGGTAAACTCATCTTTCCTTTATATATAAAAGTTCGACCTATTATTTACCTCATCTATCGTCTGCTGCACGCTAGCGGATCTTCCTCGTGGCTTCATTTCTGTTTTAATCCCTTCAATAGTTTCCAAGAAAGTTTTGATGACGAGTCTCAAATAGATTGGTACTTCGTCAATGGCATTAAGATCCCACCTGCCAATTTGCCGAGCATAGGCATGTGTTTCTTGTTAATTCAAACTATTCAACTAAAGACAAGAGTACTACGTACTTAAGGTTAAGATTTTCTTTTTTTATCTTTTCAAAACAATCTACAAGGCAAAGAAGATACGTGCATGTTCTAATACCTTTGCAGAGAATCAATCAGACTTTGAGTTTCAGGGAAAGTGGCATATGCATCACATGTGTCATCCAAAACAACCGTGACCATGATAAGTTTAGTCATTATAATTCTTCCAAGTGAATATCTTGGTTCGAAATAAAGTCTCAATGCGGGGAAATAGACTTCCACAATTCGATCCCTGATGTGATGAAGCTTAGATGCAAGATTTAGATCCTTCCACCATCTGCAAAAAAAAAAAAAAAAAATAGTTAAAATATGTCAAGAATAGTTCCACTTTTACCTAATTTAGCCTATATATATGGTGAAACCAATTAAGGTTTACATCATGAGTTCCTTTACACATAACCAATTTATTTGAGATGAGAACCATGTAAAAAAATTTACCAGAACCCAACAAAGCCTCTCATATTGATATGCATCCAAATGTTTAAATATGATGGAACCAAACATAGTCATTTTCAAGCATCTATATAAAATACTGCATTGAAAAGGACATAAAACCTAATAACAAGAAGGGTCATATGTTACTATATACTTATTTTAAGCTGAATTTGGGATCAAACCATATAATTAACCATCGTAGATTAATAAAGTTATATAATCAACAGGAACGAAGAAAAAGAGTAGTAAAAATTACTAAATAAATGTATGGTGAGGTTACTTAGTGAGAGTTTTGAGCTCTTGGATGTAAAGCAGACGGCAATAGTTGAAGCTGAGCTTTGCAAACTTGAGAAGCATCTCGTCGTGACCTTCTTCTTGGTTGTAGAAAGAAATGTATTCTCTTATTGATAGTACTTCCATGTTATGATATCTTGCTCTGTATAAGGCGTTACGAATATGTGTAGAGAGATGGGGATGAGTTGTAGTAGTACTCGCTTCTTGGACTACCAAACTCTCCAATCGGTTCCTAGTGAAGCTCTTTGCTTCCTCCATTATATCTTCAGAAGGTGTCCCGAGATGCGCTGCTTGATACAATTGTAGCATTCCTCTAACATCCCCGTGTAGGCTCTCCTTGAACCTCCCATCTTTTCCTTTGAATCTACCAAAGGCATCTATAATGAAACCGATATTATTATATATAGTCATCATCTTGTTTTATGTAGATCTTTACATATGTATGTGATGAATCAAGGAAAATGATGCTTTTTACCGCAAGACATCTTGTGTTGGTACAGTCGGAAAACCTCAAACATGATGGAGATTGTCTCCAAATCCTCTTCCTCGGCTATTAATCCGTCAAGATCTTCAAAAGCCTGTTTTAGGATCATCTCAATCTCGGTCTCGAAGTAATGCGATATGCCAAGGCTGATAAGCAAATGGATTAAACGAATCTTGTCCTTGTTACTGTTGTGAGAAGACAAGAGCCTATCTCTCACGTTCGGCTTCATAGCCGATTCAACCTCTCTCGCTATCTCATCAGATTCCTACAGAGATACAAAATATTAGATGATCGATCAAGAATCATGTTTCTTGTGCAACAAGACTCATGAAGTGTGCTTACAGAATGGTCAACGGGAAAGGAGAGGAAGTAATCTCCCCAGAGAGAAGGAGAAAACTGCGTCAGAGGACGAGTGCTTTCAAGATCTTTATCATCAGTACTCTTTGTAGCCCTCAAGCAGATCAGATCGTGTTTTCTCTGCTTTTGAGAAAGGGTTTGGTTTGGAAGCAAACAGCGACGAAAACCGTTGGTCTTAAGAGAAAGTGGGACTTTGTGAGCGTGACGAATGGGAGTTTTGAGTCCAAAACTCATTCTTGCTGCTTCCATTTTCAGTCACGAACAAAAGCTTACCTGTTTTTTTTGCTTCTCCTATGTTCTCTGAATATCTCTCTGTTTGGCGAACAAAAGCTTACATGTTTTGGCCATTTGTTTTCCTCTTTCTTATTCAAAAAAGAAAAAGGAAAAAGTCAACGGCTATTGTCGTTTTTGAGACGAGTCACACGTATCAAACATGCATCAATTCAATAAACAAATCTTGCCTCAATTATTACAACAGTTCGAATTATTATTTTTTATATATAAAACGCAACAGTTCGAATAATTTGGAGGTGAATATTATTACATTATGAATCATGACGGATCACTTCCACCATTGGAGTGTTTATTTACAATTTAAAAATCAGAGTATCAAAGTATTGCATCAATAATCTATCTTCACTAAATGATTACAATAGTTCGAATTATTTGGAGGTCAACTACATTATGAATCATGACAGATGATTCCGCAAGTGGAATGTTTCTATATACAGGTTCGACAATATGGGAATGAGAGAATATTCAATCACTACACCCTTATCCTCCACATACTGTCTGTAATTAACCAACTTACATAATATAGTGTCATTTTAGAATTTTGTTTTGTTTCACAACTGTCGTTTTGTATTCTAAATGTAAACAAACAAAAATCTAGTTTAATCTTGTTATGTTATTGTATTAATTAGAAAGAATAGAGTTTTTACTCAGTTATTTAACTATATGTGTAAAAAAGAGTATAATAACATTCATTGTGAAACAAAGAAAATATATGTAAAAGAAAGAAATAAGTTTTTTTCAAGACGTCATGAGCTGTGTCAGCAGATGAGACTACGAGGATGGGGACACGGCCGAAGTGAAGGAGCAAGCATGAGTGGCCCATAACGAAGGCTGAGGGAAGCGAGGGAACGGTGCGGGTGGAGGCTGAGCTGATGAAGGTTTCCGATCACTGGAAGCCGCCATGGAGATGGAGGTTAGATTAAAGTTGGTGGTGGAGGTGGTTCGTTTCAGGATTGGTTTTAGAAAGAGAGAGGCTAACAAAGTTGTTAAGCAGAGAGAGAGTAATATCATTTCCATTTCTTATTTTGAAAGTTGATTTGAATCTCGTGTGAACTGTGAGCTTCTGATCTCCCTTTCTACTTTGTAATTTAAAGAAATATTTAATTCGCATCGCATCTCTTTAGCTGGCATATACCGATGTCGTAATATTGTAAGTACTTTACTCTCCACGCCACATGCATGAAATTAAACAGATGTTACTATATTGTTAGTAGATAGTAACCAAAGTGATGCATTTTAATATTAAACTTATTTGTGCATCACTGAAATATGTGTCCATGTGTATATGATAAATGTAAAAAGATCTTTATTTCAGTAGACTACATAACTCTCAGAACCATGAGCATGAAATTGAACAAATGTTTATAACCAAAGTGATGCACTTCCATATCCAAGTTATAATGTGCATCATTGAAATCTGTTTTCATATCTATGACAAATGTAAAAATTAGATCATCTTTATAAATCTCCACGCCATGTGCAAGCATATGAAATTCAACAAATGTTAGGAATCAAAAGTGATGCATTTTTTAGATCAATGTTACATATGCATCACTCAAATCTGTATATGATGAATGCCAAAACATTATTTCTGAATATAGTAAATCCATTTAACAGGATTAATGATGAGATAGAGAAAAGCCAAGAATTGGGTTTTATCAGCATCATATTGTACAGAGTTAGCCAATAGAAAGGAGATAAAGTCATAAAGATATTCAAATGGATGAATCCGTAAAAGAAAAACAAAACCAGAATCATAATACACCACGTAAACGTTTTTATTTAATCCTTAATTATTGATATCACAACTTTATAAAACATATCATATAGTTATTTAAGTGGATCTGGAAGAAAGAAAAGACATAGTTATGTTCCGATACATCAAACAATCCAAAATTTGTAGTTACATAGGAAGTAAAAAAGGTTTTCTTTTGTAACTTTGCGCAAAACTCAGAATGATTTTCCAAAAGAAAAAAAAAAGTAAAAGATAAATCAAGCAGAAGACATATTACAGAGTCGGCTTGGAGTTGGCCGGAAACTCAAACACCGGTTGCTAATCCGACGGTGGCTAGGCGGCGTCAATGCTCTCTTCAGTATCTCTCTGTTTCCGTCACTTGCTCTCCTCATCAGCTTGTCTCTGCTCGGAACCATATAACCATGACGTAAGCACCGAGCCGATCCAGGCCGGCCTGAACACGAGCAAGCCAACCTAGACCTTAGACCCGCCCCGTAATTTCTCCGGCTGGTTCGATTCGGTTCTACGGCCGGCATCTCTAAACCTTCTCGTTTTAGGATCCTCCTTCTTGCAAACTGCATCTCTCTCTCTCTCTCTCTCTCTCTCTCTCTCTCTCTCTCTCTCTCTCTCTCTCTCTCTCTCTCTCTCTCTCTCTCTATAAATCAAATCTTTCTTATTGGTTTGCATGATTGATATATTTATATTGGAAATTTGAGGAACAAATAATCGTTGACGTGGTTCGTTTAGTCTGGTCTGGTTTCAAATCATAAAATTTCTTGCTTTTTTTGTAGACCCTACTAGTTTTTAAACAATATTTTTATTAAATGCTGTAAAAAAAAATATTTTTATAAAATTAGTTTTCGTTATATGAATAATTACGAAAGTATGGTTGCCGTCTTGGTGATGAGAAGCATAATTAGCAATTAATGAACTGTGCGCACTCACCAGGAGAAAAAAAAAATGAAGTTTCGCAAACTGCACATTTTTGCCAACTAATCGTATTTAGCAATCGTTTTTTTTTTTTTTTTGTAACTAGCAGTCGTTTTTTTGGCTCCTCCATTATTTGTGTTTACTAAAACATTAAAATTACAGTGTTTTTTTTTATTGGTAGTTATCACTACTAAGAAGTTAAGTCAACGATTTTAACAACAACAGAAAAAAGTTAAACCAACGACATTTTTCTATTCAAACAATGTTAGAGATTTTACAATTTATCAATGCAAAAAATGTTAAGATTTTACTCTTAGAATAGATATATAAAAGAAAAAAAAATCATGAGAAGGGTGGCATTTTATGAGGTCCATATGAATAAAAAATTATGATTTTGAATGACAGAATATAGGCTTCAAACAACCTGGATTATAGAGGTGTCATTCAAAATCATAATGGATACAGAATAGGCTTCAAACAACCTGGATCATAGAGGTGTGGTCGTGACATACCTGTAATTGTTTTTAATTTTAGTTTAATTTCTTGTAAACTTTTTTTGTATCACTAAAGAAATTGTTAGTTAGATTTCAACTTTTTAGTCGATTTATATTACAACAATCAACAAATTTGAAAAGAATCGACTTATATTACAACAGTTTACTTATATTTTAGGTTGGTCAATTTACTTTACAAGAATCAGCCTACTTTGGGTTGGTTAACTTAATTTAACAGTCGATTTATATTTTGGTTTAGTTATTTTACATCAATCAACTTATTTTACAATAGTCGACTTATTTTAGCTTAGTTGACTTATTTTTATAACAATCAATTTATACCTTACCAAAAAAAAATAACAATCAATTTATATTACAACAGTTGACTTATTTTGGATTAGTCATTTTATTTTACAACAGTCGACTTATTTACAACAATCGATATATATTACAACAGTTGACTTACTTTGGGTTGGTCGACATATTTTACAACAGTTGACTTATTTGACAATAATCAATGTATATTACAACATTGACTTATTTGGGGTTGATTGACTTATTTTATAACAATTGAGTAATATTTTTGGTTGGTCAACTTATTTTACAGCAATCGATTTATATTTTAGATTAGTCAACTTATTTTATAACAGTGGACTTATATATTAGTCGATTTATTTTACAACAATCGACTTATTTGACAACAGTCGATTTATATTACAAAAATCAACTTATTTTAAGTTGGTTGGCTTATTTTGAAACACTTGACTTATATGTTGGATTAGTGCTGCTATTCGTTTCTCCATTGAGATAATTCATTTGAATAAAGATAAAATTTTTGATCATTTTTAACAAAATTCGAGCAATAGCCAGATCAATCATCCGCATGAGTTTTTAAAATTAGACATATTTTTTAAACTCATCTACATGAACCAAATTAGATAATTTAGATAGAGATGATTCATTCCAAAATAACAAATAACCAAAATACAAGTGTCTAGATATAGTATTTAGATGCAAATTTTAGATGACTCAATGAACATAATTATAAATGATATTTTTCAATTATCCCAAAAACAAAAAATCAAAAATCATGTTTTTCTGCTAAAACCGTGAAATCACATTTTTCTGTCAAAATCTTGAAAAAGCATTTTTCCACCAAAACCGTGAAATCACGTTATTTTGTCAAAATCATGGAATGACAAGATTTCATCATAGTCTTGATCAGAATCAATTCTAATCAGAGATCCGATCTCACACAGTCCAGCGATGATGGTGAAATAGGAAAAAAATGGTCGATGTTGTGAATAGAGAGAAGAGATAGAAAGAATTGGTGTTGTGTTATTCCAATGAATAAGTGGTCCTTTATATAAGAGTACAAAGAGAGGGTTTTACTTGGTGACAAAGTAAAACCTAGTTTACAAGTAACTCTAGAACTTTCTAGAATGTGGACTTTATGGGCTTATAATGAACATCACATAATTGTTCATAACACTCCCCCTTGATGTTCATTATACAAAATATTCTTTAAAGCGCGTATGATGCTGCCTCGTTAAAAACCTTGTTAAGAAAACCCAGTGGGAAAAACCATAACTAAGGGAAAAAGAGTGCAGTGCGCATTAACTCCCCCTCATGACTACATCATTTGAGATCTTTGAGATGACGCAATCCAGTATGATGAAATAACTTCTTGAAAGTAACGCCTTGGTAAATCTGTCTGTCGAATCTTCACTTGAATGAATTTGTAGGATACATACGTCGCCATTCTTCCGCAATGCATGACTCTTGATAATGATTCGTCTTGATCATTCTCTTTACTTGATCTTATTAAAGTATTACAAATACTTTGGAGGGATGTTAAACTTTCATCTTTATATTTCTCTTTAGATGTCTATCATTTGTGTGCTC